CCCCCCCCCCCCCCCCCAAGGGACTTATCTGCTTCCATCCGTTCATTTCCCTTGGCTGAAGCAGGTGGAGTCGTTGGCCACCCAGGCCTGCCGCGCCGTCGGTTGGCTCCACCACCACGGCCTCATCTCCGGAGACGTCACCCCTGACAACTTCATCCTCCTGAGTCGCGGTGGTGGTGGTACGGGCAGGAGCAGCACCAGCGGTGGCTGCCACAGCGACAAGGGCCACAGCCCCGTCCGTTCGCCCTCACGGGGGCAGGGCGGCGGCGGCGGCGGAGGCTGCAGCGGCGGGGGGGGTGAGAGCGAGCTCCGCCTCGTCGCCGGCCGCTCGGCCGCTCGGCGGCCGGACGCGGCGGGGGGTTGTCCGCGGCACCCTCTCTTGGAGGTATACACCCGCCGCTTCGTGTCGCCGCACTCGCTGATGATGATTTTTGTGTTCTTGGGGCTTCACCTGAGAGCAGGTGGACGCGGATCCCTGCGGCGAACGGCAGACCGAAGGGCACTTGCTCATCGAAATTTTGGCTGTGTTAGGGCTGTGTCCACCATGCGCGTCGCGAATTGACATCCTCTCCTCATGAAAAAGTACTGTCAACCATTATTATTGCGTCAACGTCTGTCTCTCCGGACAGACAGGCAGTAGCGCAGCAAACGTGTCGTGGAAACGCTCGATCAAGTAAGGAACTCCCTCGTGTTGAACAAGGATACATAAAGTCGACGGCTCAACGGCAGAATCAGTAACAAAAACGAATATTGCCTTCCTCCCCTCCCCTCCTGTGCACTATCCAACGGGGATTGGCTGAAAAATCGGACACTCCATGACCATTAGCTCTGGCCAACGTTTGTCATCCTTACTCGTACCTTCGCTTCCCCCTGTCCGTCGCCCCACAAAACATCGAAGCCGGTGACCCACAACTTTCCGCTGTGTCAGCCGTTCGACAAGGCTCACGCCTCCCCCGAGCGGATCCAAGCGGCGCTTGACGACGTCCCGTGCCCCGCCGAGATAGCCGATGACGCGTGGGGTCTGGGCACGACCATCTATTGGCTGCTGACCGGGCGGGAGGACTACGTGCCGGGAGCCCGAGTGCACAGCACGTGGGGCGGAGACGAGGTCAACAGCGGCTACGAGAGTCCTGCTTCCGCCCATGTCAGTGCTCCCACCACTGGGAAGGGGGCCCCGTGGTGTTGTCGAGGGGTATAGGGATGTAGGCAATGGCGATGCTGGCGGCGGGACGCGGTGGTGATGGTTCATGGAGCAACGGGGGGGAAGGAGCACAAAAACACCGTGAAACGGGTAGGACTTCTGTTTGTGGTCCCTCCGTAGTGGAACGCAAAGAAGTTCTCACGCGACGACGGTGTGAGACTTTGGATCAGCCTTCCCAGTTTGTGTTTCCGTGGAAGAAACGACACAGTCAGACAGATCCTTCCACAGCGCAGGCGCTATACCTACAACCCTAAAGCATGTGATTCACCGCCGCGAGCTGTGAAAGCATGTTGAAGCCTCCCCTACCTCCCGCCTGCAGTCACCACCGAGAAGATTTCGTCGCTGGCAACAAGCCAACCCGCCACCGACTCTTCCCTCCGTGTCCCCTCGCTCGGCGATCCTCTCTCCGTCGCTTTTCCTCACAGGGAAACCGAAAACAATCCCCGACAAGAGAGGACGGCGTACCGACTTGTACCGGGACGGTATGCTCCGCCTTGCCGGACCTCCTCTCACTGGACCCCAAGAGGCGAGAGACCGCGCTCGCTCTAGCAGCAAGGCACGCACAACTCGTCCACACCAGAACCTTTGGGTCGCCGTCGTCGTCCCCCGGGGGTAACCCTCCCTTCCTTACGGCCGCGAGCTTGCCCAACAAGGGTACGGGGTCATGCCCCCCGCGCCTGCGCAGGGGGCGAAGGGCAGCCTCGGCGTCGGCAGCCGAAGCCGTCGCATTCCCGTGCTCGCTGCCGTCGACCCCCGCGGCGTTGAAACGGGACGACGGCCGCAAGGAAGAGCCTCCGACGGCGACGACCGAAGAAGCAGAGGCTACGGCAGTAGTAGCCAGGTCCGAAACGAACCGAGGTGGACATGATCGCGAGCCGCCCGGCGGTGTCGAGGATGGCATGGTTGGGGCGGGGGACGGCAAGGAGGCTGCGGTGATGGCAACGGCATCCAACGGCGCCGCGGAGAAGGACGGGATCGAGCGTGGCCTCTCACAGAAGAGCGTCGGTGTCGGTGGAAGAAGCCCGACAGGCGAAAGGACGCCGAGCTCCCAAGAGCCCAAGATCGGCGGCGAGACAAAGAAGAGCGTCGCGGTCGGGACTAGCCCTACCACGAGCCCTAGAGCAACCTCCAAGATGGTAGGCACTAGCACCAACAGTCCGCGGACAAGGAGCCCGAAGAGCAAGGGGACCCAACTCGGAAGCCAAGCTCCTAACGGGAGTGGTGCTGACATCATCGGACAGAGGGCCCCCGATCCAGCTGCGCACTCTAGCGCCGCCAGGGAGGCTCGAGACGGAAGCAGCAAAGGCTCCAACAACGACACGGAGGTAGCACCGGGAGGTGGAGGCATTTTCGAAGGTGGACTAGAAGAATCAGCTAGTCACCCCGCCAAGGACGAGTTGGAGGCAACTCTTTCGGTGTCCCCCTTGGGGGAGGCCGGTCGCGTGGAAAGCGAGGGCGGGAACCATGGCCTTGGGGGAACGCAAGTCGACTTTCCCGCTGGAAGGAGCAGCGGTGACGAGGCGGGAGGCAAGGGGACAGGGGACGGCCGGGAGAGCGCGTCATTTTCCCGTTCGGAGGATGCCGGAGGTTTTGCCAAAGACGGCGTTGTTGTTGCGCCACACCGACACCGTGTTGCTGGGGGCAGCGGCGGCGATGCGGGTCCCCCTGACGGCAGCGGCGACCTCCAGTCTAGAAACAAGAAGCAGAAGAAGAATCGAGTCGCTCCCATCGGCTTGGTCAACACGAAAACTCGTCCACCCGCGGAGGAAGCGAGCATCGTTCCGGGACGCAAGGGGGATTCGACAGCGACAGCCGGCAGTAATGGTGATGATGGCGGAAGAACCTTCGCCAAGAACGTTCGTCGGAGTAGGAGCGGTAGTACCCTGTTGGGCTCGGCGAACGCTGCCGTAGTAGCAGCCCAGAAGAAGCGGCACTCGGCTGACGCTGGGGTGCAGTGCTCGCGGCCGGCCGAGTCAAGCGATCAGTTGGTGGGGCAGGTAGCCCGAGGGGGTTGTGGATGTACAGTCATGTGATTTCCTTTTGTAACGTCGGCAAACGCGTCGTGATCCTTTCTTGGACTATACACTTGTTGCCCGAGTGATTCCGGGGAATGTAGGGAAGGAAAACAACGTTCGCAGTTCCGACAACTTCGTATGCGAAAAGATTGCCGGTGTGCCTTACCTAAAAGAGAAAGACATGCATCAATGGATAGATCAATCCAGAGAGAGAGAGAGAGCGAGAGAGAGAGAGAGAGAGAGAGAGAGAGAGAGAGAGAG